CCCCCCCCCCCCCTTCCCTGCTGGCGAGGGTGCAGGTGCGAGTGGCCTATCCGTCGTCCCTGGTTCCCCCAAGCTCCCCTTGCGTCACCCATAAGGTGAGTCAGTACAGGGGAAACCAAGAAGGACAGCGGCATGTCCTGTGTCCCGCACTGCGACACTTTCCTTCGAAATGTTGACTAACGAATGTCTTTGGTTTCAGTCCTGCCCGCTTCCATGAACCTCCTCGGCAGACATCTGCGAGGGTTACTGATGAGACGGACCGAAAAACATTTGAGCCTCCGCGTCTCGCCTACCAGATCCGCAGAGAAGTGGATGGCGGTAATTCGGTGGCAGTAAAACATTTGCATAGCACATTCAGGTGGCCAACAAGTTTCAGGAGGGCAGCGCGTTACAAGCAGCAGCCCCTTGGTCGCAGAACCCCTTGGAGCACGCGTCCGGGATCGAGCGCGCCCAGCTGGTCGCCGAGCTGGGCGGCGACGCGGACCCCTTCGACGCGGAGCCCGGGACCCGCGGCGTCGGCACGCGCGCCTGCCCCACCGTGGTCACGTCGTGCAACGCGTTCCGCTACGTGGGCTGCGTCTGCCACCCGGCCGAGCCCGTCGTCACCTGGATGGTGCTGTGGCGGGGCGTGCCCGCGCGCTGCCGCTGCGGCTTCTGGTGGCGGCTCGACCCCAAGGAGCCCTTCTTCGACGACCCCTGCGCCAGCCACCACTGACCGCACGGTCGTCGGCGCGGCGGTGTTGATAAATGAATACACTGGCTCTGCCGCCTGCCCCTCTGCCCTGCTTGTTTGTCGTGGACTTCCCTTCCCTGGTCGTTCCCTCCGTTGCCGCGCCGCGGGCCGGGGCGCGCTCTCACGGCCGGCAGCCACAGTCGGCCACACAGCGGGCCTCGCGCACTGATTGGGACCGTATCCGATAGATGGCGCGGGGAGCTCTGTGACAGCGACCGCGGCGCGAACCACTCGCCGCCGCAGCGGCACATATGCACATGCACATGCCACAGGGAAGGCCCACGACCGCGACCACCACCCTCGCGCACAAGCAGTAGCAATCGCCGGCTGGGAGGGTCCGCCATACAATCGACGTGTCGAATACATCACAGCACAGACAAGACCAAATACACCCGTAAGACCTCTTGAATTCGCATTTCAAAAAATCAAAGAAGTCCAAGTCTGACAGTAGGGTATAAATGTGCACTCGATTTCGAATTATTTCGCTGATTTCGCCAATTGTCGCAGAATAATGAACGTTTCGGGAGTCTGACTTTTAAATTGTGGAGTGAATTTTTCTCATCGTTGCTCGACACGGGACCCTGGGACCATTGATCTGCAGGGTGGTGCAGAAAACGCCTATTCTAGCCCTTATTTTGGATGAAAAGTAAGAAGATTTTCATGAGTACTTCACACTATAATGTGTCAACGTATAGTTGTCAGCATTCCCAAGTACCTGTCCCGCCTCGCCCCGCGCGCCCGCTCGCGGCCGCACCTGTCCCAATAGCACCGGCACCCGATTCTAATCTGCCCCATCAGCCTTTGCAATGCGAAAGAAATGACTGGGCAGATCCGCCTAGGACGCGACACTTATCGGAGGCAGTGATTCTTCCGAGCGCAGCGCGGCGGCGCTTGGGAGGCCGCCACTCTCGACCAGGACGCCGGCGATGGACGCCACGGCCCTGCACGTGCGCGCCGGCCCCGCGGCCAAGGCCCACCCGGGCGTGCCGCTCGGCGCCTACCTCCTCGACGCGCTCAGGCGGCACGCCGAGCTCGACATCCCCGCGCAGGTGCGTCCTGCTCGACGACGGCGTGCTCCGCGCGCCCGGAACCCACTTAAGTACTGCTGGCGCTCACTAACTGGAGGTGGTCGTGTAGGTGGACTCGCTGACCGGGAGGGAGATGTCGTTCCCCGAGCTGCTGCTGCAGTCAGTGCAGGCCGCGGAGGGATGGCGCGCCCTCGGGCTCACCAGTGGCGACACCCTGGCCGTGTTCTCATTCAACAACCACCATCTGTACCCGGCGTTCTTCGGCGCCATCCTGGAGGGAATCACCGTCGCCATCGTCAAACATTCGACGGCAGGTAGGCATCGCGAGGAGGGGAAGATGCCGTTCGAGGGAGTTCAGATTTCAGATACAGTAATGTACGTGGGTGGGTGCGCTATGGGCTAACAGACGAGTTGCGCGGCTTCCTCGAGAAATGCGGTCCGAAAGCCATTCTCACTGAGCCGTCTAGCCTGGGCGTCACGCTGTCCGTCGCGGGGCCCCGAGACCTCGACCTCCTCCACGTCGTGACGGGCGACGTCGCCATCGGGGCACCGCAGAACGAGGGCCGGGTGCTCTCCGTGACAGACCTCTTCGCGAGGGGCGCCCGCGCGGACCCCGTCGCCTACAGGCCTGGCAACGTCACGGACCCAAAGGACCACATCGCCTTCCTGTCCTTCTCGTCCGGCACCAGCGGCATGCCCAAGATGGTCAAGTTGAGCGACTACTCCTTCACCATGACCCTCCTTTTCATGTGAGTATGCGCTCACAGGACGGATTACTATTTCGTCGTTGAAACACTTGATGTTCTTTTCATAATTTTATAAAAGGGGAGAAGCTTCAACAAAATTTCTCGTTAAGTGGGAAGATTTGGGCGAGAAATCAAAATATTGACCTGGGCAAAACCAGCACACCAAAGGGACCTTTAGACTTCAGCTAAAAGTTGCCAGAGAATAATTCTCGCAAGAACGCGAGACCCATGACAATAAATTATTTATTAAAACTAAAGCACATACCTTTTGGCGAAGAAAATAGTCAGTCTCCAGCGAAAAATCTCTAACAATTCTTCTCAAAATTACTCCACCGGCCGCATATAACAGTCTACGACAACAAACACTGTGGAAAATGGCGGCCGGCGGGCCATCTCAGTCCCCTTTACCACCAACATTGCGGGGCGAAAACTGAAGAATTTCAAGTTAGACATTTTTGCAGTATATTACTATTGCATGTTGTAGAGAAACGCTTGCTATTGCACATATAATGTTTTTGTTCCGGTGACATACATTATGTATAGTTGTATACTTGAACGTGAGTGGGAGTGTTTTGGTTTTCGTGTTGGTACACCGTAGTGATCGCCTTCAGCCCCGGTTTTAAAAATTGGTCCCCGGAAACCCCATCTTGGTGTAAAAGTTTGATGATGAGTAATACCGACAGGGTGTGTATTGGAATGCAACTTCGTAACGACACAAACGCTCGAAACGTAACGACATCAAACACGACGTTCGATTTCTTTTCGCAGGACGGACTGGCTCGTGCGGCCCGCCGACCGCGTGTTCATCACGTCCCAGCTGGCCTGGATCACGGGGCTAGCCTTCACGCTCACCTGCACCGTGGTGGGCGCCACCAGGGTCTACGGCTGGTACGACGCGCGCGCCAGCGAGGTGGACTGGTTCGGCACCCTGCAGCGGCACAGGGTGAGGAGACGACCCTGCTGCAACCAAAAACAAATCGCGAGTGAAAAGTGGGCCCCCGTCTTCCTGCGCCGAAAAGGTCATAAAAAACGTACCTTATTCTGTAATCGACACAGATTAACACGTGGTTCCTGGCGCCACCGGGACTGACGCTGCTGGCCGCCGAGGCGCGGGCGAGACGCGCGCGCGGCCAGGACGTCCCCATGGACAGCGTGCGCGCCCTGCTCACCTCCGGGACGGGGCTGCACGCCGACGCCCAGCGCCACTTCGCCGAGGTGCTCGGGACCCCCGTCGTGCAGTGGTACGGCATCACCGAGGTCGGCATCGTCTCGTCCGACGGCCTGCCCGCGCGTCCGGGGTCCGTCGGCCGCATCGCGCCCGGGGTTCAGCTGCGGGTGAGCTAGGGGACTTACTAACAGGGTGGCAGCAAGGAGGGGGTCTCTTCGGCGACCTCGGCCGCAGTCTACTTACCGTGGTGTCGGCCGCAGCTCGTGGACGTGGACTCGGGCCAGGACGTGGCCCGCGCCGGCGTGCTCGGGGAGGTGCGCGCCACGGCGCCGTCCCTCATGTCGGGGTACCAGGGCGGCAGCGACGCCGAGGCGCTGAGCGAGGTGCTCGACGAGCACGGCTTCTACCGCACGGGTGACCTGGGGTACCTGGACGCAGACGGATTCCTGTTCCTCGTCGACAGGATGAAGGACTCGCTCAAGTTCGACGGCGTACCGGTGAGTATTAGAAAGGTGGTTAAGTGTGTGGAGGGCGGTAAAATCAGGTAATACACGCTAGTGAAACCAATACGCTGCAGATCGCCCCCGCCGAGGTGGAGGCCGTGCTGCTGTCGCATCCCGCCGTCAAGGAAGCCTGCGTGGTGGGCCGGCCGCACCCCCGCCTCGTCGACGTCCCCACGGCCTTCGTCGTCAGACAGAGCGGGGCGGGTGACGTGTCCGAGGCGGAGCTTCAAGACCTCGTCAAGGGTATGTTGTTCAAACAATGGTGTATGCTTGAATTTGGTGCCAAAGTGATGAGCAATAAATACAAGTAAATTGCGAATTTGAATGGTTTTGCTTTCAGAGCGACTCTCCTACGAAAAGTGGCTGCGCGGCGGCGTCTTCTTCCGAGATGACATCCCCAAGCTATCGAACGGCAAAATTGACCGACGAACTTTGAAAGAGTGGCTCAAGACATTGCCGGCACCAGAATGTGAACTTTGAGATCGTCTGACAAGTATGAGCGATAATGATGAGACGGAGTCACGATGTGTAAATAAAAAGTACTTTACCGAAAACGGGGAACTGTTATTAGTAGTAC